ACTGATCTTTCTCTCTCTCTCTCTCTCTCTCTCTCTCTCTCTCTCTCTCTCTCTCTCTCTCTCTCTCTCCCCTTTCCTCTCTTTGAAATCAATAAAGATATATTTTAAATAAATAAAGTCTTTGGGGGAGATCCCTTTCGGGCGGAGGTAAAACTAAAACTATCGACGTCTGTGAAACTCCCTAACTGCTCTTACTCAGGGAAGCCAAACCTCCTCAGCCTGAAAAACCCCAAAGTTCGCTATACGCCCCTAGATTTCTTCAACCAGAAATAGTAGCCTCACCCTAAGGGACTCCTTTATTGCCTACTCTGGGATAAAGCAACATTCTTTTTCCTTTATTTTTCTTTTAATTCTAATCTTTTCAATTACAATTTACATTTAGTATTCTTTTGTATTCGTTTCAGGTGTACAACATAGTGGTTCCACAATCATATACTTTAAAAAGTGTTCTCCCAATATTTCCAGTACCTCCCTGGCACCATACATGGTTATTACAATATTATTGACTATATTCCCTAAGCTGTACAATACTTTAAATCCCTGTGAATATTTTGTAATTACCAATTTGTACTTCTTAATCCCTTAAACTTCTTCACAGCGTCCCCCCACCTCTGCCCTCTGGCAACCATCAGTTTGTTCTCCGTGTCTACCAGTCTGTTTCTATTTTGTTTGTACACTTATTTTGTTATTTAATTTTCACATATCAGTGGAATTATATGGTGTTTGTCTTTCTCTGATTGCCTTATTTCACTTATACTCTAGGTCCATCCATGCTGTTGCAAATGGTAAGATTTCCTTCTTTTTTGTGCCCGAATAATATTCCATAGCACAAAGGTACCACTACTTTTTTATCCACTTGTCTCTTGACAGGTACTTGGGTTAAAGCAATCATCCTCTTGGCCTCAGATACCTGGAGATATCCTCTCCTTGAGAGACTCCCAATGCCCTCATTTAGGGGAGCACAAGATTGCTACTTTGAACCCCCTACATTCTCAGCCAAGGTGATGCCTCCTCCTGTAGTCTCCAAGATTCCAGTTCTCTTTACACTAATAATTTCCAAATACTTTGAATTAGCGTACAAGTCCACTCACATTAGCAGTCTTCATTTATTTTCAACAAGGAAAAACCCACATCCCTCTGCCTCAATATCCAAACCATATGATCTCTGAGACACCTCTCCAGGTCTTTTTGATTCAGAACACCCCCTCAGTAACACAGCACTCTCACTTCCCTGCTTCCCCAAGAAGGGTCTTTATATCTTTCCTCCAGGATAAGCCAAATTCCAGGCAAACTACTAACAATAGTAACCAAACCCCCTCAAAGACTCAAGGCTCCTTTGATTATTCCCACAGAAAGCCTGTCCTCCTGATCAATACCTCTCATAGAGACCTTCAGCCCCTTTTCTCTTCTGACTGCCCCCATGTCCACCCTCAGGGACAAATAAGCCAAGGACAGAGAAAAGAAAAATCTTTTTTTTAATTGCTGACACTATATAAAATGTCCCCCATTTTCTTCCCTTTCCCTCCGTCCACCCAGCCCAGCACCCCACCCCGACCTTCACCCCAAAGTTGTCTGTGTCCATGGGACATGCATATATGCATATAGGTTCTGTGGTTAATCTCTTCCAGTCACCTCCTTCCCTGTCATCACTGAGATCTGTCAGTCTGTTCCATGTATCCATGCCTCTGGTCCTATTTTCTTCATCAGTGTATTTTGTTCATTAGATTCCACATATAAATAAGATCATATGGATTTGTCTTTCTCTGACTGGGTGATTTCATTTACCATAATAATCTCCAGGGCAATCCATGCTGTTGCAAGGGGTAATAGTTCCTTTTTTTTTTATAGCCTCCCAGTATTCCATTGTGTAAATGTACCACAGGTATTTTACCACTCATCTACTGATGTACTGATGGGCACTTGGGCTGTTGTCAGGTCTTAGCTATTGTAAATAATGCTCATATGAGCATAGGGGTGCATATATTCATTCTGATTGATGTTTCAGGATTATTAGTATATATTCCCAGAAGTGCAATCTCTGTGTCAAATGGCAGTTTCATTTTTAATTTTTGGAAGAAACTACACACTGTTTCCCACAGTGGCTGCACCAGTCTCCATTCCCACCAGCTGCATTAGGGTTCCCTTTTCTGCACATCCAGCACTTGTTTGTTGATTTATTGATGGTAGCCAATCTGGCAGGTATGAGGTCATACCTCATATAACAAAAGAAGAATCTTAATTCCAGGTGACACTCTGACTTTCACCTTACCTCAGGGCTTCTTTCCCAAGGACCTTTGGCTTTGTGACCACAGAGACTCAGGTGGTGTGCCTTCAGATTCACACCACTCCAAAAGCCGTGAACAGAGGAAGATACTTGGAAAGCAACCTCATGGAGGATTCCCAGAATTCAGAGGAGAAATGCAAGGTGAGGAGATAAAGGGGTGGGGAAGTGACCAGGACATGGGGTAAGGTGACTACATTTCTGAGGACGTGAGGTCAGAGGCAGTGAGGACAGGGAGCAGGGTGTCAGGAAGGAGATCCAGCCTTCAGAGGGTCCCACCCAGGAGGGTCCCACCCTCATTCAGAACTTGCCTAGCATCCCTGGAGACAACAAGGTCTGTGACCTTGCACTGCATTTGGTGACTCTCAGTCCATCCAAGAAGGTGAGAGGAGAGCCCACCACCAGCATGAAGCACCTGCTGTATGCCAGGGGAGAGGCTAAGCAATGTCACCCTTGTTCTATCAGTTAGCGGTGGCATCAACCACGAGGAATTGTTAGTTCCAATTTAAAGGTCCAACACAGAGGTTCTGCAGCTGAGGAAGAGGGCAGGCTAAAGGGCAAACATTTTTACTTGAGTGGCTACAGAGATTTATTATTTCTTGTTTTCTTAGATGGTCAAGGATATTCGCAAATACTTCTCTGAGGAAGAGTGGGCAAACATGGGAAAATCAGAGAAATTAACCTATGTCAGCATGAAGAAAAGCTACGAAATCATGACTTCTCTAGGTAACAGGAAGTTCTGGGCCCAGACAGGCCTAGGAACACAAGACCATCCCTCTTTCCCTTTACATATCATGGCTTCTTCTTAAGCTCAGCAAAATTTACCCAATTTCATTTGTGTGGGTGGAAATTCCTGGGCAGCTTGAGACCTTCTTCTCTACTGTATCCAGAACAGGACCCAGGACCAGGAGTGGTCAAACACATGATCAGATCTGGACCCTGCGCTGGTCACTCCCACTCGCCTTTGTTTGGATACCCCCTACCCCGTGACCTTTACTGTCCCTGCTGCCTCCCAGCATCCACTCTCCTCTCAGGTTATTTCTTCAGAAACACATGGTTTGCTTCTCCTAGGTCTCACAGCCAAACTCCCAGATTTTATGCGCCCTAAGAATCGGGCCACAGAATTTCCTGAGCATAATTCTGATGAAGCTCAGAACCCCGGGAATCAGGGTGAGTGACAGGAAGAGCCTGGAAATTGTCCCTGAAGCCCAACTTCTTTTGGAGTCCAACTGCTCAGATAAGATTTTCAGGGGTTTCTTGCCTAAACGGATCACTGCTGACTAAAGAAAGTTGGATGCAGAAAGTAAAGTACAGTCAGTAGCCATTCACACAAAATCCTAAAACATGTAAAAGAACAATACATGATTTTATAGATAATAACTCAATGGTAAATGTATCAAAACCTGAATAAGAAAGAAACCCATCAAATATAGGATTCGAGAACTGCAAAAGGAGGGCCGGCAGGGATCCATGAGGGCTGCATGGATGGCGTCATCTGTGACTTGTTCAAAGGGTTTTGTTATATTTTGAATAAAGGATCTCAGGGCAATCCGAAGCAGATGTGCAATATTGCTGAGATCTGACTTGACCCAGGGGCAGATGAGTACATGTTTCTTCTCATAGTGTCCTCTGTAACTTTCTGGAGTTTGAAACATTTCTTTATTTAAAGGAGCTATTGCTCGTGTTGAGCACCCTCATGAACCACAGAAAAACTAGAAAAAGTTTGATTAAAGCCTAAATCCTCCAAAAACATCCAGAGTCAATTTTAGAATATCAACTAGGTAGTTTAAGATAAACATCTTAAGAGACAAATGATTAAAGTATTTTGTGATGACAGTCACCTATTTTCTTGAGCTTTACCAGACACAATGGTCTTCTCACTCCTGGCTGAACCTGATTCCTTGTATTGACTTTGGGAGAGCATCTGAGAGAGCAACGCCACACACACACTGAGCTTTCCTAGTTGTCAGTTAACAGAGGCCACATGAGGTGAAAAAAGCCACAGATTCAAGAAATCTCAGCCCATGTCAGCACTGTGTTTACTCACTATAAAGGGGATGGATGTGTTCACTTGCTCTTCTGCTCTGACAGCACAGCTGCAAAAAGACAGGGTCAAAATGCTCATACTGTCTCCAATAGACCTGTGACTCCTAGCTCCACAGGCCATATTCCACAAGCTCTCAAAATCAACGTCAGGGGGCTGAAAATCCTGTGCAAAGTTTTTGACCTTCTAGGAGTGTTTTTATCCTGTTTTAACCTTGCAGAACCACTGCACTAAATCATCCCTGCTTCATCACACACTTAACAACTTCATTGAGGTATAATTAACATACTATAAAATTCACCCTTTTTAAGTCTACAGTAATTTCTAGTTGCCACCCATCTTTAAGTGGACACAGTTCAAATTCCCAATGAATTCATTCTATTCTTTGGGAAAAAGGAGTAAGAAATATGTCATGGAATAAGATGATGTAGTGATTTGGTTTCATTCACATTTTATAAACCATCACAAAGAAAGTTATGAATTTATGCCATTAATAAATGCATAAACCATTATTAAAGATAATTCAGAAGTCAGGCTCAAAATAAACCCTTAGCAGTTAGTGGGTTCATACTGCTTGTTGCAGATTTTCCTGGCACTTCTGGAGTCTCCCAGGACTTTGGCAACCTGAAACAACAAAGAACACCTCTGCTCTATCAATTACTTACGGGAGAACCTCCTCCAGAGGCTTCCAACATCGAACCGAGAAAACACCTGAAGGAATCTCCAAAATCTGAAGGACCACAGAGCCTTTCTCTCTGCACTAATGTGAATATGGTAAGAATGGCAGAATACCATGATAGCTAATACATCTTTTGTCCTCGTAGTGATGCTGGGTATTATTTTGATGGATTAATTTATGTAATACATAAGAAAACTTTGATGACTATTATTATACCCAAATAATTGTGTGGATATTAACAACAATCATAGCAAATAACAATGATGATAATAATGAAGGGGCTGTGTTGCAAAGATGCTACATAATTTCCCCAGTACCACAGAGGCAATGACAGCAGTCTAATCCAAAGCTCCAGCACATTCCCAAGATCATAAACGTTTTCATATGTTTATGAAGTTCAGGTTGTCTCCATAGGGGTTTAGCCCTGAGGTGCTGCTGATCCTTCCATTTAGACACTCACTCTCACAACAGGGAGTACCAGGCCCCTCTGCCCTGTCACAGGGCCACTCTCCATGGCTGAGGAACCCCTTAGACTGTGAGCCCCTCACTACTGTGAGCTCCTTCAGGCCTTATCTGGACCTGAGGAAACTCTGAAGCCTCATTCCCAGCCCAGGGAGCCTCAGAGGTGCCTGAATGTTTATTGAATAAGTGATTCCATGGTTACAGATTAAGCTGGTGGAGATGGTAAGGGTCCTAGGAGTTGGGCTGCCAGTGTGGAGACAGTTGAGAGGAGAATTCAAAGAAGGATCACAAGAGAAAGTATTACTTTTCATTTTTTCCACATGTAAGTGTATTTACAAGATCACAACTTTTACTTCCCTTGTTTATGTTTCTTGTTCACTCTTTTCAAACTGAGAAAATCCAATGAAAGAGACTTTAAGGCTGTTGGTCATGGCACACCCTGACAGGAGCAGAGTTGATGCAGGAGCCACCTCCCTAATTCCACAATAAATGATGGTGCCAGGGTAGGACAGTATGTCACATCTGGCACCGCTTTATTAGCTGTCTATCTTAATTTCTACGTACCATTCCTTTTATCTCCCCTCCCTATACTCACCTCCCCACACCATTTGCCAGCAGTATTTTGTCCCTCTGTACACTTTTTAAAGAATTATCTTTAGCCCAGTGGGAATGGCTCAGCAGTTGAGCATCCACCTATAATAAAGGAGATTGAGGCTCCATTCTTGGTCAGGGCACATGCCCAGCTTGGGGGCTGGATCCCCAGCAGTGCGTGTCAGAAGGCAGCCGAGCAATGACTCTCCCTCATCACTGATGTTTCTCTCTCTCCCTCTCCTTTCCTCTCTCTGAAATCAATAAAAATATACGTATTTTAAAATATATATCTTTATTGTTGAAAGTATTACAGATGTCCCATTTTTTCTCCCAATGACCCTTCCACCCTGCTCCTGCAACAACCTGGCACTCACCACCTTACTCTCTGTGTCCATCGGCAATGCATATATGCATATAGGTCCTTTGGTTAATCTCTTTTCATCCCCTGCCCACCTTCCCTCTCAGATTTGTCAGTCTGTGCCATGATTCTATGTCTCTGGATCTATTTTGTGTGTCAGTTTATTTTCTTCATCAGATGCTACATATAAGGGAGATCATGTGATACTTGTCTTTCTCTGACTGGCTTATTACACTTTCCGTAATACTCTCCAGACCTTCCTGGCTGCCTCAAAGGTTAAAAGATCCTTCTTTTCTACAGCTGCATAGTATTAGATCCTGTAAATGTACCACTCTTCTTTTATCCATTCATCTACTGATAGGCAGGTGGGCTTTTCCCAGATCTTAGCTGTTGTAAATAGTGCTGCTATAAACATAGGGGTGCATATATTCTTTCTGATTGGTGTTTCAGGAATCTTAGGATAAATTTCTAGAAGTTGGATCAACTGTGTCAAATGGTAGCTCCATTTTTAATTTTATGAGGAAACTGTATACTGTTTTCCATAGTGGCTGCACCAGTCTGCATTCCCACCAGCAGAGTACTAAGGTTCCTTTTTCTCCACATGCCCTCCAGCACTTGTCATTTGTTGATTTGTTTATGGTAGCCATTCTGAGAGGTGAGAACTCATACCTCATTATCTTTTTAATTTGCATCTCTCTGATTATTACTGACTTCGAGCATTTTTTCATATGTCTCTTCACCATCTGTATATCCTCTTTGGAGATGTGTCTATTTAGGTCCTTTGCCCTTCTTGTTTGTTTGTTTTTAANATTCTTTGATTTAAATCTTGCTGCGCAGGAGAAAAAAAAAGAGCGCTCCTTCTAGTTCAACTCAGCTTACTGAGCTGCTCTATTTTGGGGTTGAGGACCTAAGCCACAGCTAATAATAGACTGTTATCCCCACCTTTGCTGGTAATTGTCTCCTTTTAAAAAAATAATTTATCTTTATTGTTGAAAGTATTACAGGTGTCCTATTTTTCCCCCCCAATTGACCCCCTCCACCTCGCTCCCACCACCTCCCCAGGCCTTCACCCCGTTGTTATCTGTGTACATGGGTTATGCATATATGCATATAACTTCTTTGGTTAATCTCTTCCCACCCTCCACCCCCCTTCCCTCTTCCCTTTGAAATATGATCGTCTGTTGCATGTGTAAATGTCTCTGAATCTATTTAGTTTATCAGATTCTTTTGTTCATTAGCTTCTTCTTAAAGAGGACCCTTCAACATTTCCTGTAGTACTTTTCTGGTGGTGATGAACTCCTTTAGCTTTTCCTTGTCTGACAAGCTCTTTATCTGACCTTCAATTCTAAATGATAGCTTTGCTAGATAGAGTAATCTTGGTTGTAGGTTCTTGTTTTTCATCACTTTGAATATTTCTTGCCACCCACTTCTGGCCTGCAAGGTTTCTGTTGAGAAATCAGCTGACAGTCGTATGGGTGCTTCCTTTTAGGTAACTACTGCTTTTCTCTTGCTGCTTTTAAGATTCTCTGTTTGTCTTTAACCTTTGGCATCTTAATTATGATGTGTCTTGCTGTGGGCCTCTTTGGGTTCCTCTTGTTTGGGACTCTCTGTGCTCCTGGACTTATAAGTCTATTTCTTTCCCCAGGTAGGGGAAGTTTTCTGTCATTATTTTTTTCAAATAGGTTTTCAATTTCTTGCTCTCTTTCTTCTCCTTCTTTCACCCCAATAATAAGAATGTTGGGCCACTTGAAGTTGTCCCAGACACTCCTTACACTATCTTCATATTTCTGGATTCTTTTTTCTTTTTGCTCTTCTGGTTGGGTGTTTTTTGTTTCCTCATACTCCAAATTGCTGATTTTATTCTCAGTGTCCTCTACTCTGCTGTTGATTACCTGTAAGTTATTCTTCATTTCAGTTCGTGTAGCCTTCATTTCTGATTGGTACTTTATTATGTCATTGATGGTCTCACTTCTTTTCTTAATAATCTTACTAAGATCCTTGAGCATCCTTATAACCATACTTCTGAACTCTGTATCTAGTATCTTGCTTGGTTCTATTTCATTTAGTTCCTTTTCTAGAGATTTCTTCTGTTCTTTCTTTTTTGACATGTTTCTTTGCCTCCACATTTTGGCTGTTTCCAGGTATTTGCTTCCATGTATTAGGTAGAGCTGCTATGTCTCCTGGAATTTATAGACTGGCTTTGTGTAGTAGGTGTTCTATAGGGTCCAGTGGTTCAGCCTCCCTAGTCACCTTAGCTGGGCCTTCTAGAAGCTTTCCTTTGTGGGCTGTGTGCACTGTCCTGTTGTAATTGAGTGTTGGTTGCTATTGGCGTCACTGGGGAGAATTGACCCTCAGGCCAATCAGCTGTGAGGACCAGCTGCAACTACAGCCAAAGAGCTGCTGTACTGGAGACACCCCTATGGAGCAGGATTTACTTCAGTGGAGCTTTAATGTTCACTGAATGCACTCCTTGAGTGTGTCACTCGTGAATGTGATAGAGTTTTAATCCAGCATAGTTGAGTCTGACCACCAGGTGCACTGTCTCTGGTGCCTCCCAGGGGGTTCAAAGTCAATCTCTGCCACTGCCTTGCCCAGGGCCACCCAGCATGAGCTACACAGCAAACCATAGTTGGCTGCTATTTCTGCTGGGCTTGGAGGTGTCCAGGAGAGGCCAAACTATGAACCACTAGTGCAAAACCTGGGGCTACTTATCAAGATGTATGGGGCATGCTGAGGCCAGTTGCTACTTGTTTGAGAGTTTTTAGGAAAATCCTAAGTATGAAGCTCGAGAGGCCACTTGCATAGAAAAGCGACTGGACATGGCTTGGATGAGCTTGAAGTAGGG